TCACTACACAACCGTATTATTTATTTATTACTGGCAGTCTTAATTTGAACTTAAATAACTCTATTTTTAATACAGCCTTTATTTTGACTTGAACTTATAAACTTATCAGTCTCTGTAACTGATCCAGGAAGCGGAAGAAGGGGATAACTCAATTTTGGCCATTTTTCAGGAGAAACAAAAAACTGTTAGCAGGGAAAATTAAAACAAAACTAATGAATGTTGCAGATAATAATAATTTCAAAAAGCATTAGTAAAATTTTGGAAAAAAAATGAAAAGTGTAAGGTCACTCCGTAGAGGATTTCTGCGACTTATCACTTTCCGTTGAAATGGAAAACACAGTCAGCTCACCTTATATTTCCTAAACAAAGAGGAATTTTGAGACAAGTCAAGTGGAACAATAGTCTGCATAAAGTGTAAGTTGCTCTGGTGTATTTTTTTTGGACTTAGCTCTTTTTTCCAAATTGAAATTTAAAATTAAGGGGGGGTTAAGTTGAGTTGATTCTTTTTACACTAGATGCATAAAAACACAAGTTGAGTTATATCCTTTTGCCAATTTGTCAAACGGACTCATGTAGACTAAGGTTGAGTTATCTCCATTTTCCAATGAAATTTAGACTGTCAAAGGGGTTAAGTTGAGTTATACCCTTTTTCCATGTGGATTTTCTCCTAAACTGCTTGGAATTCAGTCAAATAATTTGGTGTAATGACGTAAACCATTCTAAGGCACAATAATAAAATAAAAACTCAATTTGGGGATAAGTCAAGTTATTCCCTTCTTCCGCTTCCTGGATCAACTTGCAGGAAGAACCATTCGCCTTCCCCTACGACTACTAACATTTCCACCACCATCCTGGGCTGCTTTCCTGTGCCTTCGGGCTCTTCTTGGCCTCGGGGATGCTGCTCCAGGTTTGCATTGAGTTCTCCTTCATCAAATCTCGGTGGAGTCTCCAGCTGACGCTGAGGAGTCCTTGGCTGGGCCTGTAGGACATTAGAAGTTTTGTTTGTGTTAAATTCGTGTGCCTACCAACTTTTTTTTGCTATCCCAAAATCAACATACATTTTCGTTGCCACAACAAATTCTTTTTTTTCGTGTTTTTTGTGTTTTTGAGGGTGCTGATGACGAAAATAACAACACTTTTGACCCCAGACTAAGGTTCAATTCCCGTTAGGATTAAACATAGGCGAAATTAGCACATCTCTAAACGTACGGGACGGGCCAAAGTTGCCGATGTGTACACGGTGAAACCGATGTCTGGAAATTTCCAGATATTTTTTGCCATTTCCAGACATTGTCTGGAAATGGCCGTTTTTTTCCAGATATTGTCTGGAAATGTCTACTTTTTCCAGATAATATCTGGAAATGGTCAAATCCCAGATAAATATCTGAAAAAAAAACGGCATTTCCAGATAATATCTGGAAATAAAATTTTCCAGATAATATCTGGAAATTTCCCAGATAATGTCTGGAAACAAAGGCCTTGACGCCGAGGTCCACGGATTTGCGACCTGGGGGTCCCCGATGGTGTCCCCGAGGTCCCCAGGACACGGGAAGTCCAACGCCGAGGTCGCCGACGCTCTAGGACAAGCGGTTCCGGAGATACGAGGACGTACCACAAGGAGTCCGTCAAAGCAATTTTTTAGTCGGAGGCCAAAATCATCATCGGCCTCTGGCTGCGTTCCACTTGGGTGTCCGGGACTTTTGACTTCAGCATCGTGTTAAGGTAGTGCTAAGTGCTAGACTACCAGGAACCCGTCAGCGGTCGTCGTCGGACCTTCTTCGGTGCGTCCAGGATGCCGACGAACGTGGGTGCTGTGCCGCCACACGGTTCAACACCGTTGTCGCCACCACCCAGGTGGTCCCCGATGGCGTCCTCAAGGTTCCCAGGACACGGGGAGTCCAACGCCGAGGTCGCTGACGCTCTAGGACAAGCGGTTCCGGTTCGATACGAGGACGTACCACAAGGAGTCCGTCAAAGCAACTTTTTAGTTGGAGGCCAAAATCATCATCGGCCTCTGGCTGCCTTCCACTTGGGTGTCCGGGACTTTTGACTTCAGCATCGTGTTAAGGTAGTGCTTACTACCAGGAACCCGTCAGGGGTCGCCGTCGGCCCATCGGTGCGCCCAGGATGCCGACGAACGTATAGCACGCCGAAGCGCCATGGCGTGCCGGGTGCCTAAACGATCGTCGCCACCGCCGCGGCCGCTGCCGCCGGGTCCTCCGCACCAACCGCGAGCTTGGACGACGGAGGCCGACGCCGTTGGCACCGACGCCGCCGACGTGTACGTCGACGCCACCACATTGGCCTCTGGCATTGGCCTCTGGGTGCGCGGCCGTTCGAGCACACGGCGGCGGCGGCGGCCGTCAGGGCACTCCGCGTCGGTGCCGACGGCGTCGTCTCTGGCCGTCCAAGCACACGGTGGCGACGCAGCACACGCCGGCGGCATCAGCCGTCCGCACGCGGCAGCGTCGTCGGCCCTGGCCGTGGTGGCGTTGACGGACACGTCGGTGGCGTCGGCCCCCGTCGCCCAAGCTATTGGTCGCGACGTAGGACACGCCGGCGGCGGGGGCGACACGATCGTTCAGGCACCTTGCCCGCCACGTTCGTCGGCACCCTCGGCGCACCGGTAGTCCGACGGCGACCCCTGACTGGTAGCCCAGGTGCACCTTGTGGTACGTCCTCGTATCTCCGGAACCGCTTGTCCTAGAGCGTCAGCGACCTCGGCGTTGGACTCCCCGTGTCCTGGGAACCTTGAGGACGCCATCGGGGACCACCTGGGTTAGGGTGGTCCACTTTTTTTAAAAGTTTCAAAAATTGAGGAGCGCCGTCCAGATTCTGAAAGAAGGTGTAAAATCATGAATTTTGATACAAATATGATAAGATTTGGACCATCCTTAGGGGTCCATCAACGCGCCTGAACTTTAAAGAAAAGTTGAAAATGTAGCGGTATACTAAAATCGATGCTGTTACGAGAGTCTTTGTCCGATTTTCGATTGCAAAACGGCGATCTTTTCAGAAAAGTGCGCTTTACTTGATGATGTACATAAAATGACGATCCGACGCATTCCCTATTTTCCAGGGGCGTACAATCCCGTTTTTACCCTCTAAATCCAACGTGTTCTTGCGTTTTGAAGGTGTTTGAGTCGTCCGATCGGATTTTTTGGGTCACCATTCGACGCGCCTGATCAAAACCTTTCGAAAAATGTCTCAGGCGTCAAAATCGGTTGGTTTGCCTACTGTACAGGAGCAAAAAACCACTGAAATTCGCTTATAAATTGCTTTTTTGGGATACGAAATATCTTGTTTGGCATTGGGTCGGATTTCTTGTGGTGCCATTTGACGTACCTGGTCAAAATCTTTCGATTACCGTTTCGAGCGCCTGAATCCAGAGGGTCGCGTATCCTACAGACGAATTTTTCGACATTCGACATTTTTTGCTTGTAGGGTCGGCAATCCACCGGATTTGTACACCCAGGACGGTAATTGGAAGTTTTTGACCAGGCGCGACAAATGGCACCACAAGAAATCCGACCCAATGCCAAACAGGATATTTCGTATCCCGAAAAAGCAATTTTTAAGCGAATTTCAGTGGTTTTTTGCTCCTGTACAGTAGGCAAACCAACCGATTTTGACGCCTGAAACATTTTTCGAAAGGTTTTGATCAGGCGCGTCGAATGGTGACCCAAAAAATCCGATCGGACGACTCAAACACCTTCAAAACGCAAGAACATGTTGGATTTAGAGGCTAAAAACGGGATTGTACGCCCCTGGAAAATAGGCAATGCGTCGGATCGTCATTTTATGTACATCATCAAGTAGAGCGCACTTTTCTGAAAAGATCGCCGTTTTGCAATCGAAAATCGGACAAAGACACTCGTAACAGCATCGATTTTAGTATACCGCTACATTTTCAACTTTTCTTTAAAGTTCAGGCGCGTTGATGGACCCCTAAGGATGGTCCAAATCTTATCATATTTGTATCAAAATTCATGATTTTACACCTACTTTCAGAATCTGGACGGCGCTCCTCAATTTTTGAAACTTTTAAAAAAAGTGGACCACCCTAACCTGGGTGGTGGCGACAACGGTGTTGAACCGTGTGGCGGCACAGCACCCACGTTCGTCGGCATCCTGGGCGCACCGAAGGTCCGACGACGACCGCTGACGGGTTCCTGGTAGTCTAGCACTACCTTAACACGATGCTGAAGTCAAAAGTCCCAGACACCCAAGTGGAACGCAGCCAGAGGCCGATGATGATTTTGGCCTCCAACTAAAAAGTTGCTTTGACGGACTCCTTGTGGTACGTCCTCGTATCTCCGGAACCGCTTGTCCTAGAGCGTCGGCGACCTCGGCGTTGGACTTCCCGTGTCCTGGGGACCTCGGGGACATCATCGGGGACCCCCAGGTCGCAAATCCATGGACCTCGGCGTCAAGGCCTTTGTTTCCAGACAGTATCTGGGAAATTTCCAGATATTATCTGGAAAATTTTATTTCCAGATATTATCTGGAAATGCCGTTTTTTTCCAGATATATATCTGGGATTTCACCATTTCCAGATATTATCTGGAAAAAGTAGACATTTCCAGACAATATCTGGAAAAAAACGGCCATTTCCAGACAATGTCTGGAAATGGCAAAAAATATCTGGAAATTTCCAGACATTGGTTTCACCGTGTATCGCTACTTTTCCTTGTTATTTCCAACAGTGTAGTCTAGGATCGAGGACGATCTCAGCAACGGATACCGCAAGAAGAACATGAACACCTTGAACAAAAACGTCCTTCACAAAAAACTGAAGAATTTTCACTTTTAAATATCTTAATGGATGATACTAATGAAATCCCACCATGAAACGCAAAAATTACAAGAACATGAAAAAAACTACTCGGAGCGGGCCAAAGTTGCGCATGTGTGCCGCAACATTTCCTGTTATTTGTCCATCTCTTCGTTGTCCGGGCGGCCAGTGCCACATCGGCACGGCATGGTCAAAACATCAAAGTGCACCGAGGAAGTCAACAGGCACCTCACTGGGTACATAAAGCTTACGACGAAAATTTTTACTTCGAGTTTAACATTAACTCATTCGTTCGCGAGGTTTGCTGAGGAAGAAAATAGCGCAGGTTTTGGCTCTGACCCCGGTTCAAGTCCCGAAGGCGCTACCCAAAAACGTTATTTTGATTTTTTTAGAGCTTTTTAGAGCACTGAGAGAAAAGTACGGAAAAAGTACGGAACATTTCTGGTCAATAATTTGCCTGGACCGTCCGTACTTGCCAACTACGGAACATTCCGTACTGTTTTTCCGTACCCATTTACATGGGTCCATATGGAGCGAGTACGGAACGTTCCGTCTCCGTACCTCCGTACTATATTTTTCTGTGCCATTTCCGCACAAAAGTACGGAATTTTTTACAGTGAGGGCGGTCTCTGTAGTGGTCACTAAAGTCCTTACGGATAGCGTGTTTGTAGGTTACGGATAGTTTTGTGCAGCCATATTACGGATCGCATTTTGTTTGTAATACGGATGTTTTTGTCCGTAATACAAAGATTTGGGAATCCGTATGTTACAACGAAATTATCTGTAAATTACGGACAACAAAACCTTTGTAATACGGACAAAAACATCCGTATTACAAACAAAATTCGATCCGTAATATGGCTGCACAAAACTATCCGAAACCTACAAACACGCTATCCGTAAGGACTTTGCTGTGTGGCCGATTTGAGTCGCCTTTTTACTGTAATTTCGAAACATTCGGAAACACCTTACTTTTTCATTTCATTTCTGTATGTTGTAGGTAAGCCATGACGACGCTGTGCTCTTCCTCCAAAGTAAGGGCACTTGTACTGTTGATGACTTTTCACCATGTTCGAAGCAGACAAATCAACACCCTTGCTGTACGTTCCGAAAATTGGTTCTCCCGTGACTACGTTTAATTGTAAAGCTGACAATAGTGGGATACTAAGGGAATGGAGAGAGCAACACAACAGTAGGTTTAGGAATGCATGTTTATTTTGTTGAGTGGAAACACCCTCGAACACTTTTTCCAACCCATGTATAAAATAGCTACATGGTAAGTGCAGGCCATACCGTGGATTGTTGTAACACACTTCGCGATGCTGCGCCTGTCACAAAAATCCACACTTGACGTTTGCAACCCCTTTGTCGTGCGGTGCACACTCTCAGTCTCGTATTGACTTTATATCTCTTGCCATAAGGTTTTTGGTGCAAACGCAAAATGTACTATTTGCTCTTTAGCTATGCACTATTTTGTTCATTGTCTTTAGTCCATTAAACCTGACTTTTTGTCATTTGCAATGTGCTTTTCAATTTCTACATGATCGATTGACAACCTTATCCTTATAACGATCAAAATTGTGCATAGTTAAAGAGAAAATAGTACATTTTACCTTTGCTCAACGTTATGGGAGGGTGATTCCGTGCGTAGAGGGTCATTTTGGATGTGCCAAATGTTTTTTTTTTTAAGTTCAACTTTAGGGGCTAAATTTGGTGTAGATGGCATACATAGTACCCCACAGTACCCCTCTGAGCGTGGCAGCGCTACAAGTTGACTTTTAATTTCACCCCCTATGAAATACGGCGGAATTTACAGAAATAATGACGGACTTTACAGATTACGGAATTTACAAAGCGAAATGTTTAGTCTCCTGACCCGCTGGGTTACAAGGTAGGTAGAAACTGTTGACGGTGTCATTTTGAGCATCCAAAATAGCGTTTTTCAGCGAAGGTTGTGGGAACTTTCTCCCTCAGATGGAGGAGCTACGGCCCGAAACGGAATTTACATCTATTTTTACACCCTTACCGTTTTGAACAATTCTGGCGGCCTGGAAGCGTCGTTTGACCGCCCCAGGTCCCGCGGGCACGGGCTTCTGAAAGCGTTTTTTTATGTTCTTTCGATCCCAAGTGGTCGCGAGGTTCTATAACGAAAAGGAACCCCAGTAGATCGTCAGTTGTGAAAGCAGCATAGGTCACATGGTCACACGGTGGACATTTCCTCATAGGCTGTTTCGGGTTCAACAAGTGATGATACAAAAGTCACCTGCCGTAATTTTGTGAAGAATAAGTCAGGGAAGAGAGTGAAATAGCTAGTTTTCTTTTGATGTGGCTGAGTCATACACACTAAACTTCTTACGGATACATCCTATCTGTATCACGGACATTTTTGTGCAATTGCAATTACGGATAGATTTTGCTTGTAATACGGATGAAATCATCCGTATTACAAAGAGTTTTACGTCCGTAACATACAGACGAAAATATCCGTGTGGTACGGACGTAAAACTCTTTGTAATACGGATGATTTCATCCGTATTACAAGCAAAATCTATCCGTAATTGCAATTGCACAAATATGTACATAGGATGTATCCGCAAGAAATTTAGTGTGTATACTACAGCATGGCAATGTTGCCTTATAGGTGTTGGTGACCATGACGGAACTTACAAAACGACACTTTAGCAGCTTACAAAACCCCAAAAAAATCAAAAGTTAGATTGACTTATCCACATGAGGACATGGTCTTCGTTTAGTAAAACAAATTTGAATTGCCGAAGCTACCAAATCACCCTCAGTTCAGGCTCAAGGCCCCGGTGACCTGAAATGACCCCCTACGCACGGAATCACCCGGGAGAGAAAATACTCCATATAAGGTAAAAAATCAATTGTGGGTCACGAATCAATTGTGGGTCATTTTTTTCGACGGGTCACCGCAGACCCGACAGAGATTGAATCGATTTGAATTTCGCGGTAGACCTTCCTCCAATCTTTCTTTGTCTTCCCAAATAGCGTGTATGTCCGAGCGACGACTGTAACAGCTCCTATCAGGCTGCAAAGGAAGGCCCTTCAAAAAGTCGTGAAAATGGCGCCCATCCAACGAGGCGAAAAATCGTGTGTTTTTCAAATTGCCACCGTGAAGCTATTACGAGATAAAATTGGACGCCCTTCCTGATTTAGATTCATAATAGGTCAGGGAACATAAATTTACCATAGTCTGGCCGAAATCATTCGATGCCATGGTGCGCGGGTGCTGGCAAAGTAGCGTTCGCTACCATGTCAGACCCATTATTTTAGACGAATTTTACGGTAGTTTTCCTGCTATTTTTTGTTTTCTGCGCTTCTGGATGACTGATGGATCACAGTAAATTTCATTTTTCTGCTGTCACATTTAGTACTACGATACAAAGGTTAGGTTAGGGTCATTCCATATAAGATTTACACGGATCTGGGCGACCATTGACGATTTCGACCAAATTTGGCACGAAGGTAGCCCTAGGGGTCAGGAACATGCCCATAAATTTTTAGGTCGATATCTCAAGTGGTTTGGTCAGAATCGGCATTTTAATTTTTTACTCTTAAAAAATTTGTAATTTCTTCAAAATGGCTCTAAAAGGCCATTTTTTGTCGGATTTTCATGCGGTAAAGCTATTCCGACGTAAAATGCGACGAGGAATCCGAATCTGCCCTCAGATTTGGTCTAGCGTGATTACCAGTGGAGTAAATTGCGAAAAACATGAAAATGAAGCCTTATTTCACGAGCCTGTCTACCCTAGTAGAATATCCAAATCTGCACTTCCGAACAAACTAAATTGTAGTTCATTTCATGAGCTTTCCATATCTGTATTCAAAAATAGTGGGTGTGGCCCTCCCTTAGGAGCTGTAGGCCGCAATAAACAACTCTGCACTCAAATTTTGACTAAATAAAATGCACATTTTTGAGCTTTGAAGCTCAGTGGTTTGAGCTACACTCGTGCCGCTTATACCATTCAAAAGGGAATTTTGAGACGAATCCAACGGTACCAATATGAGCCCGATCGGGTAAGTGGATCCCAAACTGCGCCCAAATGCCGCTAAAATTCAAAATTTGCACTAGATGTTTTTCCAATTAAGAAAGTAAGTAAACGGCAGCATTTTAACTTGTCAAATGTGTACTCATTTACTCAAAATTTCATAAGCTTTCGATTGGTATATAGAAAAAGTTGGGTTTCGTCCTCTAAACACAAGATTTCTCAATTTTACTGAAGCTATGCACGCGAATCGGCTCAGACGCCCCGTGCAGGTAGGCAGCCCATCCGGCGCGCAGGCTTTCCGTCTGTTTGGGGTTGTTTGGCTGTACCCGCCCCATCCCTCGCCGGGCCCCGCCCCACTCGCCCCTCTCCGGACCCCACCGCGCCCAACCCCCTCACCCCACCCCGCCCTACCCCGCCCCACCCCCACCCCGCCACCGCACTCCGCACCTTCAACTCACTTCGGCGTTTAGGCTTCCGCGTCCATCTCCCGGCCGGCAGTCTCTTGGAGTGTCTAGCTTTGTTGTTGCTTGTCGATATTGTTTTCAACAACATATAAAAATTTCAACTAGCGTACCTCGTCTGGAGACCAGCAGCAGGCAGTACCGTCATGGATCGAGGTATGTGTCTGTTTACACCTCTACTCCTAGGTTATGGTGTCTTTGTTGTTGTTTTGTCTCAGTGATTTTCTTTGCTTTTTTAGGCTCTTTCCATCTCATTGAATTTTAATAAGCTCTCTTTGGTCTTAAGGGGGGACCCTGGTGAAAAAATAGCCAAAATTCCAAAAAATAGTATTTTCAAAGTTCATAGATAAAAATGTGTATAGAAGGTTTCAGATTCAACAGGTTGAACACTCTTAAGCTAAGTGGGTAGTTTCTTTATCATTTGGAAGGAAATAACATTGAGATCAGTTGTCGTTGGCTTCTATGCTCAACTTCACAGCTTTGCTCAGTCGACAAAAAATTTTGTCGTAGAAAGACTTTCTGCGTTCCTGGTTGCTACGGAATCTTGATATCAGCCCTACTGTTTTTTAAACACACCTAAAAGCTTGAAAAAGGAGATTCTGTCACTAAAATTTGTCGACAAGTCATCACACTGTTAAAAATTATGTTGTGAATTTACGACGGAATATTTTCCGAAGGTTTTTGGGTATGTCCATAAGTGCACTGTAAATGTTTCTTTCCTACAGGAACTATCGTAGATCAACGGAAGTTCGTCGTTAGTTTACGAAGGTTCTAAGTAAGTTTACGAAGAAACATCGTCAATGTACAAAGAGTGTTGAAAATTTACGAAGGGCTAAGTAAATTTACGACGGGCTTCGTTAATCTACGACGGACCTTCGTGAATAAACAAAGAAACTGTTGGCAATTTTTTTGCCGAAGGATCGTCGTTAATTTCAGACGTATAATTACGAAGGTTCTCTGTATATTAACGAAGGTTCCCCTGTAAATTTACGAAGGATCTTTGTAGATTTACGAAGATGCCTCGTAAATTTCCATCATGATTGTGAAATCGACAGAGATCGTTTTAAAACTTAACGAAGGTTTTTGTAAATATGCGAAGAGCTTTGTAAATTAACGAAGGAACAGTTGGCAATTTTTTTGCCGAAGGATCCGTCGTTTATTCCGGACATAAATTTTTGCAGTGCAATGAACAGAGTACATGCAAGACGACTCATGTAGGTGACAACCAGGAACGTAGAAAGTCTTTCTACGACAAAATTTTTTGTCGACTGAGCAAAGCTGTGAAGTTGAGCATAGAAGCCAACGACAACTGATCTCAATGTTATTTCCTTCCAAATGATAAAGAAACTACCCACTTAGCTTAAGAGTGTTCAACCTGTTGAATCTGAAACCTTCTATACACATTTTTATCTATGAACTTTGAAAATACTATTTTTTGGAATTTTGGCTATTTTTTCACCAGGGTCCCCCCTTAAGACCAAAGAGAGCTTATTAAAATTCAATGAGATGGAAAGAGCCTAAAAAAGCAAAGAAAATCACTGAGACAAAACAACAACAAAGACACCATAACCTAGGAGTAGAGGTGTAAACAGACACATACCTCGATCCATGACGGTACTGCCTGCTGCTGGTCTCCAGACGAGGTACGCTAGTTGAAATTTTTATATGTTGTTGAAAACAATATCGACAAGCAACAACAAAGCTAGACACTCCAAGAGACTGCCGGCCGGGAGATGGACGCGGAAGCCTAAACGCCGAAGTGAGTTGAAGGTGCGGAGTGCGGTGGCGGGGTGGGGGTGGGGCGGGGTAGGGCGGGGTGGGGTGAGGGGGTTGGGCGCGGTGGGGTCCGGAGAGGGGCGAGTGGGGCGGGGCCCGGCGAGGGATGGGGCGGGTACAGCCAAACAACCCCAAACAGACGGAAAGCCTGCGCGCCGGATGGGCTGCCTACCTGCACGGGGCGTCTGAGCCGATTCGCGTGCATAGCTTCAGTAAAATTGAGAAATCTTGTGTTTAGAGGACGAAACCCAACTTTTTCTATATACCAATCGAAAGCTTATGAAATTTTGAGTAAATGAGTACACATTTGACAAGTTAAAATGCTGCCGTTTACTTACTTTCTTAATTGGAAAAACATCTAGTGCAAATTTTGAATTTTAGCGGCATTTGGGCGCAGTTTGGGATCCACTTACCCGATCGGGCTCATATTGGTACCGTTGGATTCGTCTCAAAATTCCCTTTTGAATGGTATAAGCGGCACGAGTGTAGCTCAAACCACTGAGCTTCAAAGCTCAAAAATGTGCATTTTATTTATTCAAAATTTGAGTGCAGAGTTGTTTATTGCGGCCTACAGCTCCTAAGGGAGGGCCACACCCACTATTTTTGAATACAGATCTGGAAAGCCCATGAAATGAACTACAATTTAGTCTGTTCGGAAGTGCAGATTTGGATTTTCTACTAGGGTAGACAGGCTCGTGAAATAAGGCTTCATTTTCATGTTTTTCGCAATTTACTCCACTGGTAATCACGCTAGACCAAATCTGAGGGCAGATTCGGATTCCTCGTCGCATTTTACGTCGGAATAGCTTTGCCGCATGAAAATCCGACAAAAAATGGCCTTTTAGAGCCATTTTGAAGAAATTACAAATTATTTAAGAGTAAAAAATTAAAATGCCGATTCTGACCAAACCACTTGAGATATCGACCTAAAAATTTATGGGCATGTTCCTGACCCCTAGGGCTACCTTCGTGCCAAATTTGGTCGAAATCGTCAATGGTCGCCCTGATCCGTGTAAATCTTATATGGAATGACCCGTTAAGCTTAGGCTACAGCCCCGGATGACAACGCTAGCTCTTCCAGTCTGCCATGCTATAAGGCTTTTTTGTTGGGGGGGGGCATTGCGGGGCTTACATAGCGCCCGGAAGGGGACCGCTCTCCAACTGCTGGCTAGGCACCCGTGGCCAGTCGCCAGTCCGGCCCTGTTAAAACGAGTCAAATTAATCCCTACAGACTAAATATTCTGACTGAAATAGATAATAAATTGTCACAATACCTCATGACAGGATGTGGTGTTGGATTGTCTACCACACCGGCGGCCCTACAATATGCACTACAAAAGTTTCATCTCTAATCCAGGACGTTTAACTCACATCTGTCTCAGAGTGAAATCAGCCTGTTTATATATTTTTCCTCTTTGAGTGAAAAACGTGTCTGCTTGGTTTATTGAGAACCAGGGACCTTTAAGGGAAGGTTCTGGTGAAAATGCTATTTTCTCCTAAATAGGTCCCACTGTGAAAATTAGTCAAAAATTTGATGTCTTCCCAAGTAATTAATAAAAGTTTTAATTGGGGACTCACATTCTATGCCCTGAACCCAGTCGCAGAGCCATTTTCTCCTATTTAGGCTGTAACTTTAAAAATCTTCTTGCGCATACTATTTTGTCGGAAAAGGTTGGCCTTGACATTTTTCACTTCTTCGATTCATTTTTAAAAGATGCCGGCATGCACAACTCAAAATGTAAATAACATTTTCATTCGCAAGCTTTCTAACCAATCATTTCACTATAATTGATCAAAAATGTACAAAATAGACAAATTTTAGGGACTTTTCAGCTTAAAAAGCTTACAGTTAATAGTATAATGTAAATTTTGAGCTATGCATGCCGGAATTTTTTGAAAATGAATCGAAGAAGTGAAAAATGTCAAGGTCAACCTTTTACGACAAAATAGTATGCGCAAGGAGATATTTTAAGATACAGCCAAAATAGGCTCAAAAAGACTCTTCGACTGGGTTCAGAGCCTGGGATGTGCCTTCAAAAATCAAATTTTAGTCTCCTCAAAGAAAGATTTTATATTCCGAACAAATTATGACACTGGGATCCATTTGGGAAATGGCAAGATTTTCACCAGAACCTCCCCTTAATAAATGAAAATAAGGAAATATCTTGCAAAAGTGGTCAATTTACAAGCAAAAAGACGAAATGGCCCACAATTGATGTGACCCACAATTGATTCATTGTGCTACAGATCCTGCAGTTTTCACGATTCCGAAAAATGAATTCAGAAGTGAATTTATCTCGTATTTAAGCAAATCATATCCAAATTTGAGCTTCTTACAATGCTGACCCACAACTGGTTCCAAAAATCAATTGTGGGCCAAAACAGACTATTTTTAAAACAGTCACAGCTTAGTAAATAAGGATGATAGACGGGGCTAATATGCTGCAAAACTTAGTCCAAGGACCATAGTTTAAGGCCGCACATGCACTTTTATCACCAGGTCAGATTTAAAGGCCATAATTTCGAATTTTCAAAAATGTGACCCACAATTGATTTTTTACCTTAGGTCTGAGAGTGCATAAAGTTTCCCAGACCCACTCTGGTGGGGTTTTTTATCGCTCAGCCAGCAACTTACCCTCGGTCACAAAGACCCACTCCCGAGGATGTGTTTCACTGTGGAGCTGCTCTATCAGGTACACAGGTACACTGCTAGAAACACACCACAAATCTACAAGAATTCCTGGTATCTTTTTATCGGGTATGGATTGTTCTTTAAAAGTACAGCAAATATTGTACAAAGCACAATGAAAAAGCAATGGGACTGTCATCAAGTGCAGTCGAACCCAGGACTCGCAATCCTCGTAAGGGAGGGTGGGGCACCTAGTGACAGGGGCACCTAGTGACACAGAGGTGCCCTGGCCACTCTATGGCACTTTCAGACAACTTGAGGTGGCTTATCTAAAGGTCGTGTGCTGTGGAATCATGTTCAAGTGAAAGTGAGACTTTGAACAAAATATTTTAGCCCCTAGAATAAAAGCAAAAAAATAATTACCCAAAATCACAGATTTTACGACTTTTTTACAAAATGTTTTCTCGTAATTCTTCCAGTACACGGCACTGCCGATCGTTCTGGCACTTTTAACCAATAATAAGGACCTTTAGTAAGTTGTTTTCGCTGAACCAGCTCAAACATATGATTTCATTTCTTTAATATCAAATTTTGAACGGAAATGAGCCCCCGGGGCAGGTAGTGACAGACACACTCTATTTACCGTATTTCAACGATTTAATGGTTTCAAAACATCGATTTGGCAACCGCGAAGTAAATTGTCACCGATTGTCACACAACGAAACATAAATGAGACTAATGTGTACGACAATTTCGTAGAACATTGAATTTGATTGGCACTGTAGTAAAATGCAGTTTCCTGGGGAATAATGGCGCCGTTCAGAATGGTTTGATATTCAAAAAGCTTAAAGAGTCTAAAACAGATAATTTTCAATAAGCTGGAGCGTCGCTCCATGCTGGTAATGTGAGTTATATGACCTGTCACCACACAGTAAAAAAAGATTCGCTGTTTTGGTGGTCGTTCTATATCCAATCTCACCGAAACGGGTACCCCTACAAACCCGGCGACGGTCTGTCACCAAAACGGTGACCTGCGTCACCAGGTGGTGTTCCGCCAGAGAGGTTAGGATGACCACAACAACTGTTTTTGAGCTGTTTGTGCATATTTGTGCGTGCCCGCCGGCAACGTTACGCTTTGATGAGTCACGCGAATGATAACTGACAGCCCCTGACTTGTTTTGTGTCCTATTTCACATTAATACGACGATTAAAAGTCGCTGGCGGGAGGGTGACTGCAGTGCCGTTCTGGTGAGGTGGCCGCTCCGGAACGGACCGAGCGCCACCGAAACTAGACCGAGCGTCGCCGAAACGAACAGAGGGCCGCCAGAACAGTTTGAGGGTGTTGCTGTTCTTGTAATATTCTCGTTTTGGCGCCCAGACGTCACCGAATCGGCGAATCTTTTTTTACTGTGCAGGTGCCCCGGGCTGGGGCACCAAGTGACAAGTGCAGAGGTCTGCGGGAAGCTATGTAAATAATAGAAATAGGTGTTGTCAAAACGCCACAACATGTTTTTGCGATCAAGGAAGGATAAAAGCAACCTTCTGAGGTGTAAGCACATTCATTTCTCGCACAGTATCGGAGTGAGTGCCAAAATCCAAAAAGTGTCACTAGGTGCCCCACCCTCCCTTACTTTCTTCTACAATTCTCGTTGTACTTTTGTTGAACTATTTACAGTCTTTCTTGCAGTGTATCGCAACCTCGGAACTTAGTGCTCTGCTCCGCAGGGCCCATACATCGCCTACGGCAATCGGTGGGACACGTGTCCATCAGAAAACGTGGAGCTGCCCGTCCGCCTGGGCCATTTCAACCCTCTTCGGCCGTACGACCCGCAGACGCTCTCAGGAGAAGTGACATACAAAGAAGACTTCGGGGACAATTACATTGTAATATAGATGCGGGCCGGCCAATAATTGCACTGTAAAAAATTTCCTCGTAAATTTGAAAACAATTTATGGGTAATTTCGTTACACGAATTACATGTAAATTTAAACACTAAACTTCTTACGGATACATCCTATCTGTATTACGGACATTTTTGTGCAATTGCAATTACGGATAGATTTTGCTTGTAATACGGAAGAAATCATCCGTATTACAAAGAGTTTTACGTCCGTAACATACAGACGAAAATATCCGTATGGTACGGACGTAAAACTCTTTGTAATACGGATGATTTCATCCGTATTACAAGCAAAATCTATTCGTAATTGCAATTGCACAAAAATGTCCGTAATACAGATAGGATGTATCCGTAAGAAGTTTAGTGTATGCAACGCTTTTTGTTTCTTAACAGACGGGCTCCGGATTCGTATCCCTCGCGTGATTTTACAAAAAGATACCTCATTTTGAGCTCAATCGAGTGCATAGAGGCCCGAGAAAGGTGATTTTTCAATTTTGATCAAATTATGTGAAAAGTTGTTAGAGAAACCATAGAATCTGAACCGTGCATGTTTCGGCCCAAATATTTTGGGGCCTTTCTTAGACCCACTAGGACGTCCTTTGGCCGAAAAAAAAGGAAATCGGAGATCGATCCACGATCGGACTTCTCCAAAAAAAAAAAAAAAGCCTCTGGCGGAGCGGAGCGCATGTACGATCAATTCTCACCCCGCGAGACCGCATCTCCAAAACAAGAGAAAAATTGGGTTTGGCTGAAAACGCTACAAAAAAAGTATCCACTTATATTTTAAAAACGTTAATCTCGGAAACGTTTTGAGCCTGTGAGTTGAAATTTGGCCTAAACACTTTCTAAATTCGTATATTATCGTAGTAACAGAACAGGTTAGCCCTATTGGACTTAGTATTTTGGGACTCGACTGAGAAAGTTAAATTATTGTGGAAGGTGGGGTCGAACATGGCGTCAAGAAAGGTGTAGGGCATCACTGCAGGAAATAACCACAACAAAAGTAAACAAATTTCTGGCAAATTTTTACCAGGAATTTAGTGTATTTTCCAAGTAAAACAATTGTTGTATAAAGTACAATGGAACCGGCATGACGAGTGCCGGGCAGTCCAGGGCTCGTTGTGGTTTGTACAATTCTCGTTGTACTTTCTACAAGGTAGGTTTACGCCAGACCACGTCTTGTCTTAACAGGCTTTGCGATGTCTCGCTGCTTGTTCCTCAAATCCGCGCCTGGCGTACCTACCTTGGCCTGCGGCGCTAGCCTGCCTTCGGCAGGCAATGTTGGTGATTTTTTTTATCTTGTTGCATGCTGGGGGGCTCCGCCCCCCAGACCCCCCTACATTCTAGACAGAGATGCCTCATCTACAGATAACACGATCTTGACCCTTGTAACTTTTTAACTTGCCGAGGCTGGGGCGCTCCGCCCCCCAGACGCCCCTTTCTCCAAGACAGGAGTGATCTATCTGCAGAAAAATCGATTTTTCGCCGTTTTTTATGTGTTTTTCGACTATAAAAACTGAACCAGTTGAGCCAGGATGGTGAAATTTCGCGTGTGCCGAACTAAGGACATACCTAAAAAGTGTACAAAATCTCACCAAAATCGGCCGAGCCGTTTAGGAGGAGTAGTGCGGACACACACGCACACACACACACGCACGCACGCAGACAGGAAAAACTTTTCAACCCCACCTGAGTAACTGGCTTCGCTATCGCTCAGCCAACAATCCCTGTTGTACTATAATTGTACAGTTTTTGTTGTACTTTTGTTGTACTATCCACACTCTTTCTTGCAGTGATTGCCACCCCATGCTTTTGACCAGGAAATTTGTTTGTTCCTGATCCGAGTAGATCTTGATGAGACCCTTTTAAGGAATGGTCGGAACGAAGGTCCAGAATGCTCGCATCGTCATCGGGAACTCCGTTGGGAATAGACGTGCCTCCTCGGGGACCTTCGAGGTGGACGATTCCATCCTGATGTGGCACCGCTCTGTCAACGGAGACCTTATAGTTAGAAGGATCCCCGTTTTTTTAAAAGACGGTTCTTGGTGCGGAGAGAATAAACAAGACTTTTCCGTAGTTTTTTCTCGTAGTGTGGAGTAATATGCTCCCCTTTGGCAAAACATCGCGAAACGTACCACCTTCACTGAAAAGCGGCATGACAAGAAATTCACACCAAAAATTGGCGTGAATTTTTGAGTCACGCCGGTTTTTGGCGTGACTTTTCTGTCATGCCGATTTTTGGCGTGACACTTTATTCACGCCCCTGCAGCGGCACGAGGTCACGCCAATAGATTTTCAGTGTTGGTGTAAAACCGTGTTGCGATAGTAAAGTCCGCATGTAAGCTTACACAGCTATGACGTTCTTTTTGCAGACAAGTGTTACCGTAGCCAAGCGATCGAACAATCAGTGGAAGGAAAACTTCTTCGTCGCGAAGTTCACCCGGATGGGATGCTCCGCAGTGCGCGACAACATTCCTAACCTGTTCCGCATCGTCGTCAAATATAATCCGGGAATGGGCAGCAAGAAGACCTGTTCCATACCGGCGGTGCGTATCACCCGTGACACGTTTCAGCGGCCGTTGGGAATAAGGGCGTAAGTCACATGGGAAACCCATTGAAAATAGGTTGTTCTGTCCGATGGCCATTCATTAGGGGCTCGAGCAAATCTGAGTGAGGGTCGATGGACATTCTAGCAAGCGCTAACAACAAGTACCCAACTGTCTACTAAGTACACACTCACAAATGCATGCTTGCAAGTACACACTTACAAACGCATGCTTGGTCAAGTACACACTTACAAATGCATGCTTGCAAGTACACACTTACAAACGCATTCTTGGTCAAGTACACTTACAAATGCATGCTTGCAAGTACACACTTACAAACGCATGCTTGACGCATGGAGTTATACGGCGTCAAGCATGCGTTTGTACCGTAAGCCGGGGCAATATCAGACAATTTCGGAGTGATGTAAGACGGAGTTTGGTTCGCGTAAGATTCACTCCGAGCCCGTTATTCGGCCACAAAGAGAGCCACTGCTGTAAAAAACTAATTACTCTCGATGGTACCATTTTTCGCCGTGAAGTTTGACAGGGATGAGTCATTAAATGCCACGAGCATTATAATTCTAACGATAAAATCATGCGTCTCATATTACCCCAAGTCCCCAGCATAAGGGTGTAGCCCGCCCTTCTATTCAAAAAATGGTAGGGGGATCACTGAAAATCTATCGGCGTGACTTCGTGCCGCTGCAGGGGCGGGAATAAAGTGTCGCGCCAAAAAACGGCAGGACCGTACACACTAAACTTCTTACGGATACACCCTATCTGTATTACGGACATTTTTGTGCAATTGCAATTACGGATAGATTTTGCTTGTAATACGGATGAAATCATCCGTATTACAGAGAGTTATACGTCCGTAACATACAGACGAAAATATCCGTATGGTACGGACGTAAAACTCTAAAACTATAGATTTTGCTTGTAATACGGATGAAATCATCTGTATTACAAGCAAAATCTATCCGTAATTGCAATTGCACAAAAATGTCCGTAATACAGATAGGATGTATCCGTAAGAAGTTTAGTGTGTATGTAACCCTGAGACAAGATATAACTTGATGCAAATCCCTCACCGCGAGTCGAGGGGTACTATTCAAAAGATTTCATTTGGGCGCCCCTGCTTCAGGAATCTCATAAGCAACGAAAGCAAATTTCACGAAGTTTGTCCATATGAATTGCTAAAGAGGATAAGCGGAACATTTTTCTGCGCGCACGATTGGTTTCTTTGATCTTCAGTCTGTGTGACTTAAATCACATACATATCATTTTCATTTGTAGCTGTTCCAAATGATCAAACTTGTATTCGCTTGCGTTGCAGATAAGACTCTTTAAACAGAAGCACCAATCTAATATGTTTTGAAAATGACCCATCGAAGTAGAGGATGACTGCCTGAAACAACACACTGCCCGCATTTGAGGTCTGCAGTCTGAGTTCTGTGTTTGTTGCAGTTGCCTATTCGGGCGCTTAAGGTCTGCTGAGTCCCAACAGCCCTGATGATGATGATGTGCAAAGTTAGAAGATTCCTTGAAATTGTCTGTTGTTCTGTTTTCTTCGCAGGGCCGCTTCACCCTAAATGATACAATTCATTGGATCTTACCTAACGTGCCGATCTTGCCCTATGGGCGCTACCAGTTTCAATTCGTGTCGCGAGTCGCGAATGACACCGACAGAGTTCACATGTGCGTGAAAGTGGACTGCGAAGTCATCCCGAAACCATAGAGATCGCCACCGTCGCTCGCTCAATTAAAGAAATTGGTCCATTCGCATTATTTATTTCAGTGGAAATTTTTCCGCCCTTACCCCTACAAACTGATGGCTCCTATGAACAAAGACAGATCTGCATCGCGTCCCGCCAACAAAGACAGAAGTGTTCTAGGGTGCGCCAACAAAGACAGATCTGCTTTTAGATTAGGAGCGCTTTCCTCTTTCTTCCTTCTTTACGCACATTAGGGTGCGTCGATATGCACGACTTTTCAGATGCAACTTTTGGATAGCACTCAAAAGTTTCGTTTTTTTGTGCTGATTCCATAAATGACCTCAGTTTTGCGATAGGACAACTCCTTCATGACCCTACCAGGCGTTTTCTGCCAAAAAGCGGAGTTTTTGTACTTTTTCTTGTTTTTTGGTTCCACATTCCATCCTAAACTGTCGGGGCGGCTGTTGCACGGTCGGATGGTCACCGCCTACACTAAATACAAGTTTTGCAGCTTGGCTGGACCACCGTACACCACACATATGTGTCCCAGAGCTCAATTTTCATACTTTTTTAACCACAATTTTTTAATTCTTCCCCCTTTTTTCAGCTTTTATGGAGGATTGTACTGACCAAGTCTGTCTATACTATGACCAGAGGTTTATAAAGGAGTGTAGGGGCACATAGAACGCAATGCAGTCGGTGGACGGGGGCTGGGTAGGGAGGGGGAGGAGGGAGGGGAGGTACAGGAAACAAATTCCCCAAAACGGCCCAAATAAGCTGCTCTTGCCGAGCGTCACTGTAATGAAAGGTCGGAAAGTGGGACATAAAATATTTTATCGTTCTAACTGACTAGACTTAATATAGAAAGACGTATTTTAGTGAAAAAAGTGCCACAGGACCATCCATGCGACACAGGGACGTCATTATTGAAAAAGAAGTGGTAAAAACGCCGAATTTATAGATCTTGACGCCCATGGCCTCTGCTGGTTGATGAATCCGCGGCTTTTCTCGATGCCTACTGGTTGAGGGGTAACAGGACAACACGTGATAACATGAGGGTCATCGAGCCAGGTGGGAACTCGAGATATTTGGCCTCAAAGTACACACTTTTCCAAAAAAAAAAATAAAAAAATCCACCAACAATGCTGTTTTTTGACAAATTCGAGCCCCTGGCTTCGGCTCTGCGGCAAACCCACAACTTTTATCGACGTCAACTCGTAAAGGGGTACAAGGACAACACGTTTCATTATTAGAAGCATTGAGACAGGTGCGGAACTAGTGATATTTGGCCCTATAGATTAGATACCTTCGAACCGAGCCTTTACAGCTCCCTAACCTAGGCCTCTGCCCTAAGTAGATACAGAGCCTCGCAAGTTTTGCGAGTAATACCTCAAGCTTCGATGCGTGATGCAGATTCCCTGTTTTTCTAAGAAGTTGCGACACAGGAAGCATACATACCTTTCACCATCACGGTTCCCGCTTGCGTCATGTCCATTGGTCCGAAGGTGCGAGGCGACCCTAGGCGGCGACCCCATACCAGTTGGGCCGCCTATACTACGTTTACACGAGAGAGCTAGCCTCGGTCAACTCGAGGGGTGGGGGAGTGGAGGGGGTAGGTCTCGAGCTAGCCGGGGTCAACTCACGCGCATGAACACGTAGGTGGGTCAACGAGTTAGACCCCTCGAGCTACCCTGGCTAACTCGTTGACCGAGGCTAACTCCAACGTGTAAACACCACACGGTCAAGTGAGGTTAGGTGTGCGCAGTGTTTTTGAGGTGTTGTAAGCCCATCTATTTTCTATTATTATGAATACACCTGTGAAATCGTTGGAAAAAACTTGGGAAGCAGTTTTCTGTTGTATGAAATCATTAATTTACATATTCTATTTTATGTAATTTTTATTGATTTGTTTTTTACCACTTGTAACTGATCGTTTCTGAATAAAAATATCCTTTGTCGATTGCGTAAAGCAAATTTCGACCTGATTTCGACTTAAATTCGAAATTGTTTAGGCTATCTTGAGGTTAGAAAGTCACCCCAACAACGCTCCACCGGCACCGCGTGAACACGACGTCTGCTAGCCCTGGCTGAGTGGTGTCTCCCCTCCACTCCCCCACCCCTCGAGTTGACCGAGGCTAGCTCCCCCGTGTAAACGTAGTACTAGACACCCTCTTGGCGTGGGTAGGAGCTGGCGGGGGAGGGTCGTCGTGGTCGTCTCGACGCCGCGGACGCCGCTTCCGCGGTGGAGGGGTGGGGGTGCGGGCGCGGGGTTCCTCCTCCTCGTCCTCGTCGTCCTCCTCCTCTCGCCGCCGTTTGTTGCTTGTCGTTGATGCTAAGCTGGTACTAAAACAAGGAAAATAAATTAATACCACGGAATATTTAGAAACCACCAAGTGGCAACTGAAACGACTAACTTACTCCATACACGTGTAGTCAAGGCTCTTAAGAGGCTTCTGGACTGGCTTCTGGACTGGCTTCGAGCTGGGGCCCGGACCGTCGTCGTCGTCGTCATGGTCGTTACCCTGACCCACGTTGGGAAGAGCCCTGTGGAAGAAACACAATCAGTTTAGCCAATCATCCATTGCAGGAATAGGAATGCCACCAATAGCATCGGTTACAACTTACACGGCCAAAGCATTACGATAGCCAATGCAAGACGTTTTGAACGCCGTACAAAACTTGTCTAAGTCGGCGAAGGACTTGTTCATCTCCCTGGAAGTAAAACGGAAGTCAAGAAACGATTTAAGGGCGAACATGCTGCTTAAAGTGCATCTACTTACGCCTGGTTACAGGAACGCACGGCACCAGCCGCCTTGAACTTGGCCTGGCGCACCCGCCCAGATGTGACATTCAGGAAATGTTCATGCATTTTCCTGCAAGGAACACGGACGGTGAGACGTGAGCCACTTCAAAACAAGCACAGGGGTAACGAGACTTACACAAATTCTGGAGTATTCAGCTCCGGAACATTAAGTTCCGTAGCTAGACGATTCTGCGAAATCGTTTCATGCACCAATCCATTTACGTCGTTGATCATCTGCCGTTCGAATGCTGCATCACCGTCTGTCATTCGAGCTATGTTGGAGCCAAACATTCCGCGGCAGAGCGCAGCACACACATCAAAAAGTTGAACATGCTCGACGCTGTAACGGACAAATTGGTTATAAAAGAAAACGAGCGGGCACAAGCATTTCCGCCCAACTCAATAACAGGGTACTCACTTTTGGAAATCAAATTGCCGACACCCTCCGCGGCGTACGTGCATGGCCCAATGGGATATTTTAAAAAAAGTGTCAGGGCAAAAAAATGCACTTCACCATACCAGGTGTTGCGGCATGAGAAGCGGGGCCGGCTGCCGCCTCCCATTCGGCGTGCCCATCCTCAGTAGTGACACCAGTCCTCACCAACTCGAAGAGACCTGCAACAGTCAACGGGTGAGCAAACGCAGACACACGGCGCCGCGGTGCACGTCCAGCCACATCCTTGGTGCTTCTTACCTTTAGTTTCAGGCCCAATGTCCACCTCTAACAAGGCGGGTAAAGCCCAAGCTACTCTTCCAGCAATGTTAACCCGACACTTCGGGATTCGAGAGGAGGACCGACCTGTGAACAGAAAAACAGAACATTAGACCTTTTTAGCAGATGATACGTTCACGTATCAGCGTGCTTGTACTCTCGTGCAGAGAGTACCGAGTTTCCGGCTAGCCAGGTAGCAGTTGCCTCGTTGCCTGACTAGCAAGCCTAGAAGAGGCCGAGCGCCTCGCTGGCAAGGCAGCGGCTGGCTGGCCTGCCTAGAAGATTATGAGCGGAGGGCCCGCAGTCTGCCGCGCCGCGCCGTGCCGCGCCGTGCCGCGCGCCGCACCATGAATCGGGGCGGCTGCGGGGGCTCGGGTTGCGCGCGCGTCGTATAACCTCGACACCCAGCTATCAAGTGCTCATGAAGTGCGTCCCTCGCGTTGCGCGTCGTTACGAGACGCTGCTAGCACGCATCACGTAGCTGCCCCCCTAGCTCATTCCCTTGCCGAGGCGCCACGTCCCGCCGCGCCCCGCCACACCCCCCCAGCAGTCTACACACACACGCACTTGAGCCTTGAGTGCGTAGAACGCATAGTGCAGCCCCCCCCCCCCCAACCCCTGCCCCTCTCGAGAAGCGGCGCGTCGGCAGTCGGCAGTGTGCGCCACTCTTGCTTATCTATCTTGAGGTCGGGTTCTGGTGGCCCGCCGGCCCCCGCTACGCAGTGGCGTAGTGCACTATAGTGGGGCTGCCCCTGGCCTATCAAACTCACGGCAGGAGGGGTATAAGGAGCCGAGTGCCACAAGAGAGACCAACATGAACAGAGCGGCCCTGACGGCCGGACCGACAAGGCAGCCAAGGCCCTGGCTGACACGACACGGCCATGGACAAGACGCGGGGCCTTGGCACGGCAAAGTCCAACTCGACTGATACCGAATGACACGACTTGAGGACTGGGCGAGTCACTGCGGCGGCTGCGGTCTACCAGAGTGAGGGCGAGGGCCGGGGACACGCGCCGCGTCAAGACTGGAACGCCGACGGGGACCGAGCCCGCCGGGCCTTGCGCGGCCTTGCGCAGCCTTGCGACGCTACGAGGCCGATGCAGCAGCGCAAGCAGCGAGACACCGGGTGGAAACCGGAGAAGGGTGAAAAGGACGAGTCTCGAAGCGTCGCGGGCCGGAGAGGACAAAGGGCGCGGCGGGGGCGGGCGGGGTTCGCTGAAGGCAGCAGCGAGCGACACGGCATAGAGCATTTACACCAGGGGTGTGCAACTCAGGCGACGAAGTCGCCCGGCGGGCAGACGCTCGAGCCGCGTGGGCGCTGCCGAGCCTAGGCTTGTGCCGGGGCCGGCCCGGGCTGGCTAGTCTAGTCTGTGTGACCGGCGGCAGTGCGGCTGGGCGACCGGCGCTGAGGTGTGAGCTCGACTGGACGAAGCGAGCACATCGGCATATCAGGGCCGTTCGAAGTATACCATCGGCTTAAGTGGTGTCTAAGGCAGGCGCGTAATTAGGGGGGAATTTCGGCTTTTTCGCGGATTGTTTCTTTGTATTCATGCGTAGACGTTGTTACTGTGATTAATGAGACTTTAACAATATGAGCACTGTGTAGTCGATATATTATGTGCCGTACTGTTTTAATCAATACTACACAAGGTAGGTGTACGCCAGACTGTGTCTTGTAACAGGCTTCGCGATGCTGCGCCAGTTGCGACAATCCACGCCTGGCGAATACACCTACCTTGGCCTGCGGCGCTAACCTGCCTTCGGCAGGCTGCCTTCCTTGGCATACCGTGGAAATGGGCGTGATCCCCTCAAAAAGAGCATTTGGTCATCAAAATCTTCACTAATGGGGCTAAACTTTCGGTCGGAGGTCTGAATGGGTCAAAAACAATTATAACGACATTGAATTTGACAAAAAGTTGAAAGTTCCAAAAAAGTTGTCTCTTTCCTGCCGTTTTTAAAGTGTTTATTGGCTAATATGACCGAATGGATTGAGATAGAAAGCTGAATTTTGGTGTGTGGCGAGCCAAGGATATGCCCAATGACCCTGCAAAATCTCAGCAGAATCGGCCGAGCCGTTTAGGAGGAGTAGTGCGGACACACAGACACACACACAGACAGACAGACAGACATGAAAAACTTTCAACCCCACTGGAGTAACAGGCTTCGCTATCGCTCAGCCAAAAACGGACAAGTTTGCCCCTTACGTTATGCAGCCCGTAACGCCCCCCCCCCCCCTTTTAGTCGACTCTCATTGCGCCCCTTCCCATAGGTCAACACCCCCACAAAATTTCAGCCATCTCAGGCAATTACTAGAGGAACTGTGAACAACACAACTTTTGGGCCTTTTACCACTGGTATTAGGGTAAGGAAAGGGGAAATCACTTGTGAATTTCGGTGTACAGATCCGACGAATTTCAGTCAAACTTCGATGAATTTCCGTCGAATTGCAATCGAATGTCGATGAATTTCAGTCAAATTTCAGGCGAATTTCGATGAATTTCAGTCATATTTTGACGAATTTCAGTCGAATTTCAATGAATTTTACATGTTTGATGAATTTTGGTGTACAAATTTGACTGTAGTTATTTCCCCTTGGGGTAAGGTGCCATAAGGGGGGACCCTGGTGAAACTTTCAAGTAGGCTTTAAAATAATCCCAGGAAGTTGAAACTTTGATTAATTATTATGTTCATTATGGTGAGTTCCCAAAACAAAATTCAATCCAAAATGTTGAACGGTCTCTGAGAAAAGTGGCTTTTTAGTGTTTTTAGAGCGTTGGGGAAAAATCTTCCTGCGTCTTTCATTGGAACGGAAAGTCCTGAAAATTTTTTTGGGTTATCCTTAAGATGTATAGAAGAGATTTCAGTGACGGAATTTTCAATTTCAACTTCTGTCCTCAGATATGAATTTTCAAATTTTAACATAGAAAAGTAAATTTTTTGGGCCCTTTTTTTTTTCAAACTTTTAGGGGGTTTTGGAAAAAAAAAGTAGGGCTGATATCAAGATTCCGTCACAAAAATTTGTCCACAAGTCATCAATGAACAGAGTCCATGCAAGACGACTCATGTAGGTGTCAACCAGGAACGCAAGAAGTCGTTCTACGACAAATTTTGTCGTAGTTTACGATGCCATTTATTCACCAGGGTCCCCCCTTAAGCCAAAGAGGAGTGAAATCGCCGATGGTATACTTCGAACGGCCCTGATATGCTCAAATCTCGAAGCCCGACGTCGTAGAGCCTCGTTCGACACGCCATTCGAAAGAGCGTACTATTTTCTACAAAAAAAATCAAAAGGGGAAGATTTTCTGGCCAGCCTGTTCCACCAACCCAACAAGCCCAAAAACCCCTCAAAAACAGCCTTTTTGGGGGGTTTTCGGTCCCCTATAAAATCCGGAGTTTGAGTTGGATCTCACTCCTATGGTGTTTTAGCTGTCCGTAGAGATGAAAGAACCCTGAAAAAAGTTTGAGCTTGATCCGAGATGGTCGCCGGCCAAGTGGCTTTTTTGGTCTGGAACGCCTCGATGGAAAATAGGCCGTTTCTCGAAAATTGCGTATTTGCACTGCTACGGGTGCGGCCATTTCTGACCGGGGGTATTTCCCAAATTTTTGGGTATTTGGGTTTTCGATGATTTCCAATCGATTGAGCCACGCAGATTTCCCTAATCTTCACTCCTTGCACCTTTTTCAGCACTTTTCAACAAAAATTTCTGAAAAAAATTATTTTTTTGGGGCTATTTAAAAGGGTTTTTGGGGGTCGGCAAGGGTCGGGTTGGTGCTGGAATGTTACGCGAGGGTACTAAGAGTCCGACCGAGTCGCGAGGGACGGCCGGGAAGCGCCGTGGCTGTGAAGAAAACTTGAAATTTGCCAACAAGCGGTTGTCCCTTTTTTTACATTTAGAACTTATTTTTCAAGTGCCCCGTGCGTTAACAGAACATGTAATTTTTCGTGGGACAGTCTAACCATCGCTCCGATTTAAGTTAACATAAGAATCCAGATTACAGTACTAAAAATGAAGAAAAGTCGAGATCGCAGTACCATAGTGTCTCAACAACTATGCATGTAGGAGTAAGACATAAAGGTTTTGTTATTTCAGTAAGATTTTAAGAGCAGCGTTCTAACATGCTAAAGCAGTGTCATTTTTAAGTTTTAGGAAACTAAAGCCATACAATGAGTTGAAAAGGTCGGAAACAGTTCCAAGGTAAGATTTGGCAATTTTTTCAGTACGGCGAACCGGGGTAATCATCAAATAAGGGTGTCTTACATAAAATTTGCCCATTGTAAATAGTGCTTGTGCTTGGAGTCCTAGAACTTCTCCGCATTAGGGCAAGTCACAACATCCACAGAGCAAAGGGTTTCTGACAGGGCAAAATTGTTTCCTACCACATCTAGCTTACTTGGCTACACTGCAGGAAAAATAACCACAACAAAAGTACACAAATTTCTGGCAAATTTTTTATCAGGAATTTAGTGTACTTTTCAAGTACAACAATTGTTGTACAAAGTACAATGGAGCCGGCATGATAAGTGCTGTGCTCGTTGTGGTTTGTAAAATTCTCGTTGTACTTTCTACAGTCCCTGTTGTACAGTTTTTGTTGTACTTTTAATGTACTATCCACACTTTTTCTTGCAGTGTACTTGAAATAGGCCCTTCACATTTTTCTCCTCATCTCCTTCCCACTTTGACCACCCCCTGCTCAAGAGTCGTCAGGATTCCTCGGTCAAACTTTTGCGGTGGGAGTGATTGTTGTTACTGCTCAATTTCAACCATGTCAGAGATATTCCTTCTATGGAAATAATTTGAAGAAAGAGCGAACGAAGCCCAGCCCTCTGCACCTTGCTCCACTTGGTAAGAAAACTAGTGCAGTCGGGAATGAGTACACTATCTCTTCCTTCTCTTGTTGTATATTTGAACATGAGGACTAAGTCAACAATTACTCCATATTCATCATCTTTCCAAGCATACCATTTTCCAGTCGCTCAACTCATGAAGCACTTCGTCTATTTTTCTTTCACAGGTTTTCAGATTTCTAGACACGTATCAACCCGTCAGAGCTGAGACCTTAGCCTGTAGCAAGCAGCCAGCTGGGAGTCGTCTTCCGAATGGGCACCTTGATTCCGCGCTGTTGTATCACACCCAAGAGCTGCATGAAGCGAAAATTTCCGCCTCAGCACTCAAATTTTGCTGCATCCTCTATCTTGAGCAGCCAACA